AGTGACAATTCCAAAAGATTCAAAATAACCAAGATAAAAACAAAACAAAAACCTCTTTGATCCTTGGGAATCCACACTATCTCAAAAAAAAAAAGTACTTCAGTAAATTAAAAAAAAGTTTTACTTGCATCAGGCCTATGCCAACCTCACATTCCTAATTAGTATTCACGGACAACAATGCACTACAATATTAGCTTCTATATTTACCCCTTCTGCACATGCTCGCTAGAATAATCAAGTTCATTCATCCATCAACCCACTTCCTAGTATTCTGCCGCCACAAAAGTTAGGTTGTTCCCATTTATACACCTGAAATACACCTGAAATGCACCTAAAAGGAAAACTAATAAAATCCAGTACTGTGACACATCCTAAAGTAAGGGTCACCTACGATTCACTATTGAACACTACATATTGTGTAGCAAGGCTTTATTAAACCTGAGAATGGTGTGCTTTATGTTCAGTACGGCTAGTCTTCCCAAGGGCTACCACAGTGCTTTGCAAGTACAGGCAACTGCTCAGAGTCCATTTACGATTTTCAGCCAGTTTTAGGGTGCAAAATAACACTCCCTTCCAGTGTCCTCTCCACATACTTCTCATTATTAAGAATTTATTTGTTTAAGAAGGAATGGAAACAAAGCAACCTGGCTAACCCATAAACGAGCAACCTGAAGCTACTCTTCTCTGCAATAAATAAATAAAGAAGCATTCTAGGTCAGAGATAATAAGTCCCATTTTTATTGTTGGCTTATTCAGGAAATAGTTCTGTAATATGTCAAAATTTAGATTAACTTTAATACTTGGTAAACTAGTGTCTCTTAACAAGATTAAATGATGCAAAACTAATAAATAGGTTTTTTCAGTACTGGCTTTTAAAATTCAGAGGTACAAAACAAGTTTCAGTCCAAGGCTTCAGGAATGTCAGTCTAGATATAAATTATCTTTCAATTTTGACATCTGATCAAAAACTCTGGTCAAAAGTAGCTGCTTAATTGGCTAGCTTGACTTCAGCTACTAGGCACTCCGTCAGGACTCAGAGATGACACGTGAGGGTGTGCTGCGCAGCCTAGGACGACTTGGGATGGGATGGGTGGGGCTGCGCCACTCTGCAGCAAGGCTCCTGGTCTTTCAGCAGACTAGATTTTTATCAGAAGCAGGCTACATAAGAGGCAGAAGCACATTTACAAAATTTTCAATACAATTATTCTTTTAAAAGTCATCTTCCTTTGCAGCATTGTCATCTAGCTTATTTACACTGTTTATTCTTAGAACTGTCTGAGTTTACATTTGGCCTCTAAACCGAGGGAAGAAAAAAAAAAAAAAAAAAAGATTAAAGAACAAGTATAAGGCAGGGCCAGAACACTGTCTCCAAGACTGGCCAGGAGGGATGTTGAAACTATTGTAATTTTTTTTTCCATCAAACCAAACAAGAAACACTACTAGGGCCTGCAGTATAGCTCAGCAGCACAGCGCCTGCCTGACAAGCAGGAGGCCCCAAGTTCGATTCCCAGTTCCAAAAAAAAAAAAAAAAAAAGACAGCCATAAAAAGGGAACTTAAAGAAACAGCACTCTTTATATTACTTGTCTCAAGTCTTGAAATACTGGTGGAGTGGCTGATAAATCCAAAATAAAAGTTCAGCCTCCAAGTTCCTAACATGAAAACATCAATGTAAGAAAAGGCACTGTATAAATTAACAACTGTCTTACTGTTTTGTCCTAAAATGAGCTTTTGGACAAAAACTCATAAATATAAAAATAAAATGCAATTAGATTTATCAGCATAAGCTTCAACATAAGTTAAAGCTTTAACCACAAACATTTAAAATGCCAACATACTAACATAATTAAAAGCCTTTACCTAAAATACTATAAAAGTATTTTCCAGTGGGAAACACTGTATAAACTAAAGAGACTAAAATTATAACAATGAAAATTATCAGATTGACAGACAAAATAATTCTCACAAACCACAGTGAGTTCTTACTTTACTCTTAAAGCAGGATGAAGTAAATATGGACTGACCAGTTAAGTACCAAATCAAAACTACACAGTCACAGTTACTCAAGAAGCAATCCCTATTAGAGGGACTGACCAGTCTTTGTCCCTTAGCTTAGCCATGTTCTGCCGTTCTGGGGGGTTTTGGCGGGGAAGGACAGTCTCCGTGTACTTCCAGCTGGGGCTGAACTCACAGGACAGTCCTGACCCAGCCTCCCAGTGCTGGGAGTAATGGTGTGCAAGCCACTCCAGGCTTTTTTGTAGTTCTTAATTTTCAGAAATACTCACCTATGAAGTAATTATTAAGTCCTTAGGATGACACACAGAGAAGCCCTGTAACCTACATTAACTTCTAGTGCTGTGACTAACTTGCTTTTTCAAGCATTTAGCTTTTTTTTTTTTTTTTTTTGGCATGTCAGGCAAAAATAATTCAGACCAGTGGATAACCAACCAATCAAGCACAATTTAGTGAATAACCCATCCTTCCCCCCAAAATCTACAGTGGTAACTTTTTTTTTTTTGCGCAACCGGGGACTGACCTCAGGCCCTTGCACTTGCCAGGGAAGCGCTTATTTCACTGAGCCATCTCCCGGCCCCTATAGTGGTAATTTTAAAGTCACAGTTTTCCAGGTACTTCACCTGTTTCAAGTTCTTCATCTAAAAAGTGAAGATGAAATGCTGACTCCGTGGGAGTGTTGGAAGAATTAAATGAGTGAATTAAACACAGCAACCATCACCTGACACACATTAGGCGCCACTGATCCCAAGTTCCAAAAGCCAGAAACACAGGCTGTGGACTGCGGGGCTCCATGCCCTATTCCTGGGCGGACACACTACTTTCAATAACTTTTTCACTTATAACTAAGTCTTCTTTAAGGGACTTTTCCCCTCAAAATTAGCAAGTAAACTTATGTCAAGTTTTCTGCTCTACCATGCCAGAATTATATATGGAACTGCATTACACTTATACACAGTGAGGGCAAACTGGTGAACGCTCAAATACTGACTCTTCATCCAGACTCTCTTTATCTCTCTCTGATTTTATATCCTTCACTTGCATGCAGGCAACTCACCAGTATTTGTTGTACTTGCTCCTAGCTGCAATCTTTTTAGGAAAACGATTCTGAGGGGTATGTCACAGTCTCAACGCCACATATTCTTTGACTCAGCAATTTCACTGTTAAGTGTCTGCCATACGGGGACAGGTACCAAAACAAATACATATAAGGTATTACACCACCAAAACCCCAGAAACAAGTTAAATGCCGATCAACAAGGCAATGATTACCTTGATTACAGCATATTTGTGGGATAAAAAACTACTTAACCACAGAAAAAAACACAGAAGCTAACATCAGAGAAGGGGTTTCGGCGGTGCTCAGGATGGAAGGAGGGGCCTCTGGAAAGTGCTCTACCAGTGGGCTACACTTGCAGCCCTGTTTTCTCTTAATTTAGCAGCAGAAGAAACAAAAGCATCTAGTGTAATACTGAATACAAACCCTGGGTTTTAATGAGCAATTTGAGCACCTTAAAAATTTAAGTGTGACTTAGGGAGACAACTGATGACCACCCGGTTTCACCCGTTCAAGGCTAGCTTTCCTCATGACCCTGGAATACAGCATTCAAAGCGGTCACCTCCTACTCAAGCACGACAGCATGCATGGGACGTTTCTACAATGTATTCAGTGAGGCTCTGCAGCGCGCCCCAAACGCTCAATATCCTAACTCAGGGGCAAAAAGTCCTCTTTCTACAGTTTTTCACATTAGCAAGGCAATCGACTGAGAACATTTTTCTCCACATCTACTCTTTTGAAGGTGCGCTGTTTGCTTCAGGACCAAAGTGACATTCTTTGTTAATTCAGAAACAATGCCTTTCCTCCTAGGAAAGAAAGCCCCAGAAAAGGTAAATAATGTGAGCTTGTTTTTTAAACAAAGCAAAACTTTGGCTTTTATCGTAAATGTCTGAATTGAGGCTTATCTTAAAACTGTACTTCAATTTTAGGCCAAAAATTACTAACTTGTTCTTAAATAAGACATACTATATTCTTAAAAAGGACCCATTCACTACTAACTATAACCGCTAACTTCTGCCAGACAGAAAACAAGAAAACAAAGTTCTGCAGGATTTCAGATGCTTCCGGGGCATATTATAACCCATTTTGGGGAATTATGAATAAACATTTCAAGCAGAAAAATAATTACATAAAGATCATCGCTTGTTTAAGTACCTTGATATTATTCGAAGTAATTAACTGATACTTTAAAAGGGGAGTTATACTCTTTCACTGTTTTGTATTCCTGTTATTGTTTTAAAGAACAAACACAAGCACCATTTTATGACGAAAAAGATTAAAACATACCAAAACTGAGAAGCAAACTAATTTTTAGGAATTTTAGCTTTCACATATACTATGCGAGTTGGTTTCAAAGCAGTGAGAAAGTAACGAATGTAGTATTCATTTGGGGAAACCAACAGGAAAAGTTTTACTGTGTGTGCTGGGTGTTTACTAGTCTAAATCCATCCTACTGTCCATACAGGGCCACTTTCTATCACTTTTGGAAGCGTAACTTAAATCATTACAAAGTTTCAACGACTTAACTTTTTCGAAGTTACCTTAATAGAGTAAGTTTTTGTTTTTTTAAAAGAACACCTCCACTGCTCACGGGCTGAGTGGCTGTGCCAAGGCTTATCGCCACCGTGCGCATACCGCAGCGGGTGACATCAGATCGAAACCACCCGGTTTCGCCGGGACGAGCACCCTGGCCGGCCCGCGCCCGGCCCGCTCCGCCCCGCTCCCAGCCGCCCCGCGCGGGACCTGTTGCGCGTCCCCGTCCGCACCGGCGGC